ATAATGAGATATGTTCAACTGACAAGGAGTAGACTTGTGATGGCTATTCTTGGCTGTCAATTTGACTACATCTGAAACTATATCCAAAAGTGGAATTTGTACTTAGCTTGAAGTAGGAAGATTCGCTTCTAATCTGGATCTTTGAGGTAGGAAGACACACCTTAATATCTATCTATCTATCTATCTATCTATCTATCTATCTATCTATCTAATTTTATATATAATCTTTATATATATACAAATACAATATACATATAGATGAAGAGAAATTCATTTTATAAGTTCTATGACTCTCAAGAACCATGACAAATATACTTTACAATGGTATAAAAAGGAAGCACATTCAGTAGAAATTAAATTTTATATTTTAATCTCACCTGGGGTTGGTGATGGGCCACGGGATGGGCTCTGCCATGCTATGCAGTGACAGTCCTCCAAGGACTTCAGTTGGCAGGTTAGTGAATTATTCACTGCCCCTTCAACTTATTCGGAACAGTTTAAGATGGGTTTGTTGAAAGCCAGGCAAGGGTGGTGCATGCCTTTAATCCCAGCACTCAGGAGACAGGTGGATCTCTGAATTCAAGGCTAGCTTGTTAGACATAGCACATTCTAGGACAGCCAGAGCTACACAGGGTAACCCTGTCTCAAAAGTAAGACAAAACAAAAAAAAACGGGTTTATTGAGTAGGAGCCCCATAGGAAGTCAAGAAATATATGTGCACATTACAGGAGCTGCTTATTCAATGATGTTATTTAATATTTTTATTTTAAAATTCATTTTACTTATATTATTAGTGTATGTGTGTTATGTGTGTTGTGTATGTGAGTGTGAGTGCGTGTGCGTGTGCATGTGCGTGTGTGTGTGTGTGTGTGTGACATGAGCACACTGTTGGGAATCTCCGCTCTGGTCTCACTCCTCCCATTCCAGAAAGCCTGCCCCTCAAAAAGCCCACCAAGGATCAGTTCCTCCCCCAGAGCTACTCAAGACCACACCTACAGGGTATTTAAGACCTGGTCTCCGGATCTACCACGTGAGATTTCTCTCCTGTCTTTCTGAGAGTCACCATGGAATTGCTTTGCACTGTTTATTAAATCCGGTCTTATTAATTCACTTTGACTTGGCTTATTGCATCAGCAGAGGAACCCCCAAACCAGGAATTTTCAAAATACTTATCATGTACAACATATGTTCAGAGGTCAGAAACCAACTTTTGGGAGATTTTTCTCTCCTACCATAGTTTCCCAAGCTTGAGCTCAGATCATCAGAGTTTTGTGGTAATCAGTTTTCTGCCCCGATAATGTTTCCCATCAACATAGTAAGCTGGATCTGGCCGATTGAAAAAGGATAACAACAGGTTTATTGAATAAAGCAGTTCCTGGGTGGGTTCTCCAGTCCCAGAGATCAAGGCTGGAGAAGCCATGCCCACAAATGAAAGCGCAGAGACTTTATAGATTGCAAGCAAGGGATGGTGATGCATTCATGTCCACACACTGGGTTTATGCCCAAGTATGGTCAGAAGTTGAGGGCTTTAGGTGAGGACTTGGGCAGCTTGCAACTTCAGGGGAGGAAGCTGCTGTAGCCACCAAGAATGTGGAACTGGAGTTTTTTGGTGTCTTCCCTTCATTGGGAGACTCTGAGCGGGTGGGGTTTGGATAGAGAATCAGGAATTGGACTTCCCAGATCATACAGGGGTAAACTGGAGGTTCCAACCAAACATGTGGCTAGCACATTTACCTGCTGAACTATCTCACCAGTCATGTTTGTTTGTTCTGAGTCTCTAACTCCTTAGCCTGCTGCCTCTGCTTCCTGAGTGCTGGATTACAGGCATGGGTCACTATAACGGGCATAATTTCTTTTTTTTCTTCTTTCATTTTTTGTATGTGTGTTGGGTATACATTTGTGTATATGTATTCAAATGGGTGTGTGGCGTCATACAGATACCAGAGGTTGATTCAGATCTGCCTGCCTGCCTCTGACACCTAAGTGTTGGTATTAAAGGTGTGTGCCACCAACAATGGGCTCTTGTTTAGTTTTTTTTTGTACCCCCCACATACACACACTTAAAAAACAAAATAAAACATGGGTCTTTCCATGTACCCAAGCAGACTTAGAATTTAAGATCTACTTGCGTCTCCCTAGTACTGGAATTGCAGGCAGGAACCACTTTGAAACTGCTAAGGTCCCATCTCTTAAAGGTCCTACTTAGTATCTTCATGTTGCAGATCTAGCTTTCTGGTGGATACACTACATTGAACCCACAATGCTCAATTTGTTATGTATTAATATAACAATAACAGTGCTGAGCCTGGTGGTGCAGCTCTTTAATCCCAGAACTCAGAAGGCAGAGGGACAGACGGATCTCTGAGTTGGGGGACAGTCTGGTCTACAGATCAAGTTACAAGAGAGTTAGGACTACACAGAGAAACCCTGTCTTGAAAAACAAAAAATAGATAGATAAATAAAATAACAACAATGAACAAACTCAGTTACCAATCAGAAATGAAACTGCAGAATAAGTTGATGCATGTGTAAGTCACTGACTTCAGAATTATGAATCAGATCCCTCTGACATAATATGATAGCATGTTAATATCTCTGACCAGTCCCTTCAGAGCTAGCTTAAATTCTCAATGCTATATAAACACTTAAGCTGACATATTTCACAAGAAAAAAAAAACTAACCAATAGGCAACCAAACACAAAAGACAGAGCTTAGCTTGAGCTATCAGGACTCAGGGAAGCCACTCTAAGGACAGTAAAGCAGCTCTCTCTAGCTGTCACCAACAGTTTGTGAGGGCCACAGATGTAAGCTTGCCCCACCTTGACTGGAGGTCAGAGAGTTGGAGCTTCATTTTGCTCTCTTGAAGCTGTTGACAACAGACGTGGCTACAAACAAGAGATTCTGTCCTAGCATGTGGCTAATTAGTATTTTGGGTGTGGAGGTGGATCCGCTCCACTTGGACAAAAGGTTGGAGAATTCAAGTCTATTTCTTATATCCTGCTAATGAAGTCTGTTGTATCCCTCCTCCCCTTTTGGAGTGAAGATTAAAAGCGTGTGGAAAATAAATGTGGCAGACTCCCGATGCTGTTCTGTGTTTTTGTCTCTTATTTCTCTTATATCTCTGTTACTTTTGCTTAATTCTAATTCTCATGCTCCTACCCTGGAATGTATAAATTTCGTCAAGGCTGGTCTTTGACATTTCTTGGCAGATTTTTTTCCTATAGAATAAAGATGTGGCAGAAGGAGGCTGAATCATCTTCCCAGGATCCCGTGGCCACAGTTCTGAGTACCCTCAAGATCCCCAGAACCGAGGTTCAATGCCCGTAGCTAACATCCCTGTCAAAATTTCAGGAGTAGCTTTGCTATTCTCTAGTTTCCTCTTCCAAAGGCATTCTCTGGACCATGTTGCCCCAATGGACGGCTTTTGGCCCCTTACGTCTGAGAGCGCCAGGTCGCTCATGGCGTTATTCCCAGCACTCTCACTTTCTACACATCTGGAATGTCCAGATGTTAATCCCTTAGCCATCTCCCTACATCCTCTTTTTGTGTGAACTCTCATACTTAGGTTCCAAGGTCTAAGGATTCGACGATCTGTGCTATTGTTCTTGATTGAACATTTTCCCCCTGGAATTTTGTTGTTGTTTGTTTGACTGATTATTTTGAGAAAGGGTCTGGAGTACCTCACACAAGTCTTACACTCATTATGTAGCCATTGTTAATCTTTTTGTTTGTCTGGTTGATTTTTCAAGGCAAGCTTTCTCTGTGGATCCCTGATCACCCTGGAACTCACTCTGTAGACCAGGCTGGCCTCCAACTCCGAGGTCTGTCTGGTTCTGCCTCTGATCGCTGGGTTCAAAGGTGTGTGCCACCACTGCCAGCTTGCCATGGTTAATCTCAAACCCACCCTACTTCTGGGAATTCAGTTGTGTCCTGCCACTCCTGGCTATTTCTCTGCCACTGTCTTTGGTTGGCATGTTCAGTCAAAACAGAATCCAGGGCAATTGCTGGAGTCAGGCAGGCAGGGAATCATCCACAGAGTTTGAACTTCATCAGAACTCTTGGTCATCAAACTATGTGTAGTGCTGCACACCCATAATCCCAGGACTCAGGAAGTACAAGCAGGAGGATTGAGAATTTGAGGCCAAACTGGGTTACGTAAAACCAAAACAAACCAAAACAACTCTTACCATCTAATTCAATCTCAATACTTCTGATACTCAATGCTTCCTTGGCAATTAAACTGGACAGATGGATGGCTGGGTAAGTAAGGCTTGTAGAGATGCTTGAAAGAATCTCCACAGCACTGCAGTGTCTTAGGGATGGGTGGCCCTCAATATATTCCCTACATTACTTCAAAACCAGTGGCCTATTATCCTCCAAGGTGTGTGGACCTGTGGTGTCACAACTTCACAGTCACGTGACACTCCTCTGCTCTTGTCACTCTCCCGTCATCAGATGAGGAGAAGAAACTTTCCTGAGCAAGAAACCGAAAGTTTCTAAACCGTAACAGAAAAGAGGAAATCTCAGGGGGATTTATTTTTTGCACAAGAACAAACTGCCTGAGCTGGAACTGCTTCATGAGATGCGAGCGTGAAAGAGAAAGCAGGACTTTGGAGCCTCGGCTCTCCCGCCCCGGAGTCACTTTCAGCCTGGCTCATCTTGCGGTCACCTTGTTAAGCCTGGGTTACCGTGTGGTCATCTCATCGGTCATTAATCCACAGGGCCCCACGGAATAATTTCATCTGCGAGACACTGCTTTAGGAGCTACAAAAGACCAAGGACTGAAAGTGCCCAGGCCCTTTTCTAATGAGCAAAAAAAATGAGCTCTTACCCTCTCTTCTCCTCTCTCTCTTCCTCTCTTCCCCTCCCCCATTCCTTTTTAATCTCAATAAAATCCCTCATTAAAAAAAAAAAAGAGTAAGAGAGGGTTGGGGAGATGGCTAAGTGGTTAGAGAACTCACCACTCCAACAAGAGAATCAGAGTTCAGCTTCCCAGAACCCATATAAAAATACTGGGTAGGTGTGGCTGCTTGCCTGCAATTCTAGCCATGGAAGGTAGAGACAGGAGTCTCCCCAGCAAGTTGGCTACCAAGACTAGTAATATTGGTGAGTTCTGGGTTCGACTGAGATCCTGCTTCAAAAGAATAAGGTGGAAAGAGAATTGAAGAAGATTCCCCATACCAAACAGGATTCCATACACACCCATGTGCACATACACAAGAAAAGAAGAAGCTAATTTTGGTTGATGAGATGTTTAAACAGGGCAGGGAATGACAGAAGGGAGAAGAATGGAATCTTCACTGTCAACCAGACTGGGTCTAGAGACACCTAGGAGATTCGCTGCTGGGGTATGTCTGGGGGTGTTTCCAGACAGGTTTATCTGGGGAAGGAAGACCCTGGAATACGGGCAGCACCGCTCCAAGGGCTGGGGCCCCAAAGTCATGTGAACTCCAGCACTTGTCTCTCGGCTTCCTGACCGCAGACCCTCTTCTGCCACCAGGGCTGTAGCTGTTCTTAGTGCCGTGCTGTCCCTGCGACCATGGGCCATTCGCTCAAACTGGGAGCCAAATAAACCTTCTTTCTTGAGTTGTTTCTGTCACAGAAAGGGAAAACATAGCTAGCAGGGAACTCACCCATGAAGCGGTAACGACTGAACTAAAAACTAAATGGGGGAGAAAAGAAGCGTCAGTATGGAAACTTGCAATCCTTCCTCCTGCGGACAAGATGGCTGCAGCATGTTTATGTGCCACATCCTCACATCACACTTTCCAAAGTAGGTCTGGGGGTTTCCTGTTGCGAGGAAGAAAAATATTTCCCACAAGGCCCTAGCATACTTACCTTCCTGTCCCGATGGCCAGAACTAGGTCGCACACCTACTCTCCAGCCAAGAGGGTGGGGTTCGGTGACTGACTGGGAGCAACTGTGGCTCTGCAGAAGACAAGAAGGGGTGGCCTGTACTGAGCCTGAGCCACCTGAGCTGAGCCAGACCAGCTTGCTGCCACCCCAAAAGCCAACTGGAGAGACTGCATTTATTTTGGAGTGATTGAGCACCTAAGCCTGGGACAGGCACTGTGCTAGTGCTGAGGGTAAAAAGAAAAGGCATGGTATTTCATTCTATACTCTTGGTGCTAAGAAGACTGAGGAGGACTGTTAAAAGTTCAAGGTTAGCTTGGACTCCTGGGTAAGGCCCTTGTCTCTCAGGTGTGGAGCACACATTTGTAATCCTAGCATTCAGCAGGCAGTGTGGTAGGAAGATCCAAAATTCAGGGTCATCTTTGGCTATATACTGAGTTCAAGGCCAACCTGGGCAGGATTCATGAGACCCTGTCTCAAACAAACAAATGGGAATATACATATATATATATATATATATACACACACACACACACACACACACACACACACACACACACACATATTGAAAGGTTTAGGAAATAAAACCTTAAGTGAGGTATGAACCACTACTGGAGAGGTAAATGCAAGAGAATCAGGATGTTGCAGTTCATCCTCCTGCATGAATGCATTGCAAGTTTGAGGCCAGCTTAAACACCCTGGCACTAAATAAATAAATAATAAAATAAAAGGGAAGAAAAGAAAAAGAAAACCAAAACAAACCTTAGGTCTGGGATGAGTAACAGCTCAGTATAGAGCTCTGGAGTGCTCCCCCGAGCAGATAGCTCAGTATAGAGCTCTGGAGTGCTCCCCAGCACACACAGGCTCTTTTAGATTCCCCAGTATGGTAAAAGCAAACCAAAACAAAGCCACGTGACAGACCCCACTTAGGCATTATATCCACTCTGGTGCTTGCGAATATTCAGCAAGAGGCATTCCCTCCCGCTCCTCCTCCCCACACTCCTATTGCCAAGTACTAGGGTTTAGTGCACCTTCTCCCCCCTCCCCCTGTCCCTTTGCAGGCTGGAGGTGGAACCCAGGTCCTATGCATTCTGCGCCACCACTGCACCACAGAGCTCAGGCTGCATTTCTTCAGCTCAGAAGATCTTCCCTTCCTCTCATTTCATAAAACCATCTACTCACTTGACATGCTGTCACTGGACAGCCGGGCTCTGGACAGGTAATATTGCTCAAATAACAGTGTCTGTCCTCAGAGGTTCCATTCTCATTCCAACTGAGAAGCCATCACGGTGCACTGACAAGGAGAGAAAGTGTTACAGGAGGAGAAATGGGCATACACAACCCACCAGTAGAGCTTTTGCTGAGCATGCAGAAGGCTGTGCTAAAGCCTCAGAATCACAAAACAACAAACAAACAAAGAAAAACATCTCCCAAACAAAAATCCAGCACGGCTCAAAGTCATCAACAAACCCACGGATCAAATACTTATTATCAGTTTAGAGTATAGCTTGATGGTAAAGGACCATCCATGGTCTGGAGGCCCGGGTCCAATCAGAAGGGAAAATGTCCAGGGTAAAGGAGACAGCACAGTTGGTAAAGTACCTGCAGAACAAGAGAAAAGATCTGGGTTTGGATTCCAGCTCCCATGCAAGTATGGCCGCAGGACTACAATTCCAGCACGGAGGAAGTCGAATAGAAGAATGGGGGGGTGGGGGAGGGGATGGTTGGCCAGCCATCTAGGCAACCAGTGAGCTGAAGGTTCACTGAGAGACCCTGTCTCAAAAAATAAGGTGAAGAGGGATAAAGGACTCACTGCCAACCTCTGGCCTCTGAACACACACACACACACACACACACACACACACACACACTCCATACACATATTATTAAACTGAGTATGGTATTGAATACCTATAATGCCAGAAGTTGGGAAGTAGAGGCAGAAGGATCAGAGTTCAAGACCATCTCCAATCTTCCTCCTCTCAAGAGGGGCTGGAGAGCACCTAGCAGGAGCACCTTAATTTGTTCGAAGAGGGTGGAGGATGGTGGTAGGAGAAGATATACCTCTGAGATCCCATCATGTCAGCTCTTTCTGCTTGCTGTCTGCCATTTAAGATGTGAGCTCCCAGCTATTCCTTGTAGCCAAGCCTGCCTGCTGCCACGCTTCCCTGCTATGATGCTGATGGACTCTCATCCCTCTAGAACTGTGACCCTGATGTGGGTCTCCCCTCTGGATGCTGTGAATATGTTTTATTGCCATTAGCTAATACAGAAGCTGCTTTCAGCCAAGGCTTAATAGAATAATGCCAGGCAGAAAATCCGAACAGAATATAGAGAGAGAGTAGGCGGAGTCAAAGAGATGCCATGTAGCTGCCAAAGGAGTCAGAAGCCCTGGAACCTTGCCAGTAAACCACGAGTCTGATAAAATACAAAATAATAGAAATGGGTTAATTTAAGATGTAGGAGCTAGCTAGAAATATGCGTAAGCTATTGGCCAAACACTATTGTAATTAATACAGTTTCTGTGTGATTATTTCGGGTTTGGGAGGCTGGGAACAAATGAGCGGCCTTCACCAACATAACCCAAAATAAACTCTTTCTTTTCTAAGTTGTGTAGGCCATGATCTTTTATCATGGCAACAGAAAATGAACTAAGACCCAAGTGTGTACCAGGGAGTGGGGTATTGCTGTGACAGCCTGGGTGTGTGTTTTCTTTTTGTTTGCTTGGGTCTTGTTTTTGAGGAAAGTAGAAGAGTTGGAGACTTTGGAAAGTAGTTGAATTCTGTAAGCAGGGCTAAATGGGATGTCCTAGTAGGAGCCTGGAAGACAGTCGTGCTGGAAGCTCTGGGGACTAGGGACGACCAGCTCAAGAGGCTTCAGAGGGAATTAAAGACTTTAACAGAAGCTGGACTAGAACTGTGCTTGTGAAACTTTGGCAAGAGCTGTGGCCACCTTCGGCCCTGGTCGTAAGAACTGGCCTGAGATTAAGTTCAAAATCACTGGTCTGACTTCTTTGGTGGAGGAGATTTCAAGACAGCCTAATATCAACTGCTGCATGGTTATGGGGATCTATAATAAAGAGGAGCAAGCTGGGTCGAAAGAAACACTAAATGTACAGTTTGAAGAGAAAAAGAGCACAGGGAACTTTAATGTAGTCAAGGCTTGTGCTGAAAGAGACAGAAGAATTCTCTGCCTTAGAGAGGGACAGCAAACGAAAGCTGTGGCAAAGGTGATTCAAGGTGAAGAGGACCCAGCCAAAACTGGCAGCCACGCTGGACAGTGTTGCCCATGTGATGCTTGCAGATGAACTACCTCGTCGGAACGTGTAGTGATATTTTATTTGTGTCTTAACAACTAAAGCTTGCCTGAAGATCAGAATGCAGAGCTAAGCCACTAGAGGTCAGGGAGTGGTGGCACACACCTTTGATCCCAGGACTCAAGGCCTCCCTGGGCTACACGAGATTGAATCTGTTTTAAAAAGAGAAATAAGATTCACACAAAGGTGCCCCCAGCACTCAGGAGATACACATCTTTAATCCCAGCACTAGGGAGGTGGAGACAGCAATGATATGGCTGGGCAGAGAGAGGAACGTTCCCGAGTGCTGGGATTAAAGGTGTGCGCCACCACAGCCCAGCTCTAACTAGTTCTTATAACTTAAATTAGCCCATTTCTATTCATCTATATGTTTTATGGCTTTTACTTCTCTTCCTGCATGTCTTGCTCCCTTTGTGTCTGGCTGGCAATTTTGTCTTTCTTCTTCTTTGAGACCTCTCTGTCCCCAGAAGTCCTGTCTATCTATTGGCCATTCAGCTCTTTATTAAACCAGTCACAGTGACACATCTTTCACACAGCATAAAGAAATATTCCACAAGGGACCCTGGCTTTAGTCATGAAGGATATATAAGTAAAGGGATTATAGAATCATTCTGCATGGTTTCGGAGAGCCACTGAGGTCAGGCATATGGCAGAAGAGTCCTTTTATGGGGGCCCTGAAAAGCTTTTGTGTGAAGTTGTAGAAGTGAGGCCACAGTTACGATTTAGACTCCAAGATGTTGGAGATGCTGTGGGAAATCTGCCAAGGAGAGCTGCCCATAGGGAGCAGACAAACCCAAGAGAGAAGAATGTGTCACAGCAGCAAAGCTGAAGGGTAGTGACATCTAACCCCTCTGACACCAGGCACGGAGGTGGAGAACTCTGGAGTTTGCCCTGCTGGGCTCCACACTTTCTTTGCTCTGGTGTTTTCTCTCCACACCTCCATCCCTCCCTTTTGAAATGGGTGTATATGTTCTGTGCCCCTGGACGCTAGAAGTATGCCATTTCCTTTTGGATTTTACAGGAGGTTACAACTGAGAGATTGCCTGGAGTCTCAGAACAGAGGTTAGAATTTTTGAAAATAACATTGAGACTGAAAGACTATGGGGACTTTTGAAGTTGAACTGGATGCATTTTGCATCGTTACATGGCCGCAGGCTAGAGGTGCCAGGGAGTGGGATGTGGTGGTGGTTTAAGCATTTGCGTCCTTAGCCCTCTGTTGGTGGTGCTGTTTTGGGGGGTTCCGGAGCCACCTTGATGGAGGAAGTGGGTCACCGTGGGGGTGGGCTGGAGGTATCCAAGTCTCTCCCGATCCCCAGTTAGTTCTCTGCTTGTCTGCTGTTCTAAATGTGAGCTCGCGGCTGTTCCTGCTGCCATACTTACCTGCGGCTACACTTTCCCACCACAACGGCCATCAAACCATAAGCCCCAAATGAATCTTCCTTCTCTACCTTAGCTTGGTTGTTGATTTTTAATGCAGAAGTAGAAAAGTAACTAACACAGGAACCCATCAGTGGAGACAGAAAGGTTGAACTTCAGGCTAAACTGAGTTACCCAAGGACCCATTCAGGTTTGCGTTCTCGCTCCGCGGCTTCCACTCTCTTCCCACATGGTTAGTCATCCGGCAAACAGGAGAGACACTGCGGCATCAGGGAGGACCAGCGTAGTGGCATGGAGTAGGCATGGTGGACAGAAGAGGGTTCGGTGACTTGCTAGGGAGGGGCAAGAGTCCAGGATGACTTCAGGCAGGGTTTCTCTCAGGTGGCATTGGAGGGATGCATTTGAACTTGGGTATTGCGTTGACCTTCTTCCCAGGAGTCACCCAATACAAAGTGCTCACTGTTAGTCCCCCACCCTCAACCCCACACCCACATCAAAGCCTTCTTATCTTGGTCTCTTTTTTGCCCAACAGAGGAAACTTTACCCTTCTATGGTCCCATGTCCATGTGAACAACAGAAGGGTACTATGGTTATGGATTTTCAAATTTTCATCACCCCATGTTCCCTTGAGTTGAAACCTGTAATTTTTTTGAGCACCTACTACGAGCCAGGGAAACAATTCCATAGTCATTGCTTCTGTCTCAGCTCATTCAGACTCAAGCCATTCATGCAGACTGCTAATGGTTGGTAACCAATGAAAAGCAATTAACAAACGACCAGAAAATCAACTGTCTTTTTCTTTGCGTATTTTACTCAAATAAACCACCCAAGACTCCCACCACTTACATTTTAATAGAGGCTATTATGATGGCATATGAACCAGTGAATTCTGGGTCTCCTCAGGACAGGCAATTTCAATGTTGGATGTTACCGGGTTCTAGTTTTATTGTACTGAGCAGTTTTATTAAGGAACGGGGAATCTATGTATCAGTACGTTTTAAGTAGTACCATGCCTGGATGAGGCATCAAAGTGAGAATGGTGAACTTAAAGGGCCTTTAAAACATCTTGAAGCAATAACAAGCCACAGACCGAAGCCGGGTTGTTTTAAAACATTACACAAAACTAAAACAATTGAACCAATTTGTCCTTTGTTCTTTTTATTGCGTTCCTTATTACATTAATACTGTTTTAAAATGAAACTCAAAGGCATCAGACTCTCGCACCAAGCTACGCGGAATCTTCCCTGCACCGGTCTGGTTCGGACAGAAAAGGGCCTCGAGGCTGCTGGCCTTCTAACTCCGTGAAAGAAAAGGTCGCGGGGCTAAGCCCCGGGCCAGCCTGAGCTCTCGCCCCAGGTGGGAGGATCTGCTCGAAGTTTGCTAAATTTTCAGGCAGCAGTGCCGAGCCACAGCCGCCTTTTCGCTTCAGGGCAGGCGGGGCCTGCGGGAGTTGCACGCCTCCGGGGGTCTCCACCTTTCCAAGTAAAGTCCCCCTGGGCTGAAGGCGCCCCCGGGGTCACCCCTGCAGGGCAGGCGAAAGGACAAGAGCGATTCCAGAGTTCCGGAACACAGAGCGCCAGCGCGCCGGCAGCAGCGCGACCCTGTGTCCGGGACAGCGAGCGCGTTCGGAGCCACCGCAGCGCTCTCCGACGCTGGGGACTCGCGTCCTCCGCCGCGACACCCCGCTCCACCGCCCTCCTGCGCTCCGCCCGGGAGGGGCCGCCCTTCCCGCGGGAGCCAGTGATTGACATCTCCGCTCCCTCTCCTCCGCTCCGCAGCGAGCCCGGGCTGTGTGTTTTGGAAGCGGTGCTACGGGGCAGCAAGCTGTGTGACGCCGCGAGCGGCCAGCGCCGCCCTTCCTTCCCCCCGGGGCTCGGGCGGCAGCGAGGCGG